ATTTCTGTGGAGATTCTGTTCTGATTTACTCATTAGGAGATGTGTGGACTATCATGAAGTACCCTCTATCCTAAAATTTTGTCATACTTTAGAGTCTGGAGGACATTTGGGTATTAAAAGAACTATTCATAAAATCCTTGAATCTGGTTTTTTCTAGCCCACCATGTCTAAGGACACTGCTGAATTTTGTAAAAATAGCCCTAGGTGTCAGCAAACAGGTTCTTTAACTAAAAGAGACCAAATGCCTTTAACCTCCATCCTTGTTTGTGAAATTTTTGATATCTGGGGTATGGATTTTATGGGACCATTTCCTCCTTCAAATGGTTTTCAATACATCTTGGTTTTTGTTGATTATCTGTCTAAATGGATAGAGGCAGTTGCCACTAGGGATGATAGCTCTCAAACTGTGGTTAAAAAGTTAAGAGAACTCATTTTGAATAGGTATGGCATACCGAAAGCATTGATTAGTGATAGAGGCACTCATTTCTGTAATAAGCCCATGTTAGCTGTCTGTGCTAAGTATCACATTACACAAAGGGTTTCTACTGGGTATCACCCTCAGTGTAATGGGCAGGCAGAAATTTCAAACAGAGAAATCAAGAGAGTCCTTGAAAAGGTAGTTAGACCAGATAGGAAGGACTAGAGTTTGAGAATTGAAGATGCTCTGTGGGCAATTAGGACAGCCTTTAAGACACCTTTAGGCATGTCCCCTTATAGGGTAGTTTTTGGAAAGGCTTGCCATCTTCCTGTTGAATTGGAACATAAGTCCTTCTGGGCAATTAAAGAGGTGAATTTTGAGTCTGGCCTTAGTGGGCAGGAAAGGCTGTTGCAGCTAGTTGAATTAGAGCAACTTAGACTTGAAGCTTATGATAATTCTGTCATATACAAAGAAAAAACAAAAATATGGCATGATTCTCAGTTGAGAAAGAAAGAATTTCACATGGGTGACAAGGTACTTTTGTTTAACTCAAGACTGAAAATGTTTCTTGGAAAGCTCAAGTCTAAGTGGCTAGGTCCTTTTACAGTTGTCCATGCGTATGATTATGGTATAGTTGATATTAAAAGTTGTGCTACTAACAAGTGTTTCAAAGTAAATGGGCATAGGTTAAAACTGTTTCATGAAGGACAACAAGAGGAAGTTGTGGATAGCTTGAGGTTGGAAGCTGTCTGAAGAAACTTGAGAAAGAGTCTGGCCAAGGACTTTAAATAGGGCAGCTACCTGGGAGGCAACCCAGTGTTTTGTTTTTTTACTTTGCTTTGTTATAATGGACTTTGTAGACTGTGCACTTGCAGCATTGAACAGGGAAGCTGGTTCCCTTGTGGAACCAGTGATGAACTTCTGACCCCTACTTCCTGTAGTTTAAGGAGAGTAGGGGGGGTGTGATGTGCTAGTTAGGAGGTGTGTTTTGGTGATTGTGTGATTGGCAGCCCTGACCAGACCAATGGCACTGAGGACAGTGCCATACCTTAAGTGTGGGGGGGGGGTAGACTTGGTTGGGTTTAGGTTGTAAGCATTACCCCATTCCATTTAGACACATTATGCATGTTCCTTTTAACCATCAGTGATGTGTGTGCTTCTTTCTGGATTTGGGATTAAACCAAGTCATCAATCATGGTCTCCAATTCTTAGCCAAGTTGTGGAGGACCAAGTATAGGAAGGGAAATGCTTCTTATGATTATCTGAATGAGTATTGCTTCTATTTCTTACTCTGGAATGTCCATTTGAGCAGTGTACAGCTTTCAAACTCCCAAATTGAGTTGCACTAAAATCTCTGGTGCAGATTTTTTAGTGACCTTTTTGGCCTGGCTGTTTTGAGTTGGATTTTAGGGTGGTTGGTTGATTTTACTGATTGAGAACACCCTTAAACAACAACCTTTAGAGTGGAGTCATTAAGTCCCAACCCAAACTGTTTTTTTGCTATCTCTCTAGACTCTTAAGCTTGAATGTGTGTGGGAAAAACCTTTTGGACTTGGCATTGGTGGCCCGGCACCTCTGTCCCCTTAAGCAACAGTTTCCGAAAAGAAGCTAAATGTGTATGGAGAAGAGTTCAATTGGAAGGGCAAACCCCTATTTTGGGCCGTACTCAATCCTGAAATTCCCACACATTTCTCAAATTATCAGTTCTCTTTCTCTCGGGTGAGGTCCGTGGGATACCTTGATTATCTAAGTCCCGGGCTATCTGGAATGGGCCTGGGGTAGCTTGACCAAAAATCCTGTTACATGGGAGTTAGAGAATTGTAGCTTGAGGGTTGAAAGGGGCAGTTTAGTAACAGTAAGGACAATTGGGACTTTGGCCTCATTCAAAAAGGATTGTGGGATCACCTTCTCATGAAAAAGAAGTCAGCCACTTTAGATTCAATTTGAACAGTCAGCACTCCTCAGAGAACTACATCATGCGATTTTGGTACAATTTGAATTGGGAAAGTTTGAAAATTCTACATTAGCTCATTTGGCCGGATTTTTGAGTAAGAGAAAGGAGGAATGTACATGCAGAAATGATACGATGAGCTTTCTATACTTGAATTCTGCAACTTGGCCGAGTGAGAATTTGGTTTGCATTTTGTTAGGCTCTTTTATAGTCTTTAAATTCCCTTACATTTACTAATCTTTTGGTCACCATTAGTGAGAATTTGGTTTAATTTAAGATCAAGAAAGAACATTGACCATTCTGTAGGTTGGAGTGCAATTCTTGTGTTATTTTAGGTCCATTGGGTTAAATGTTAGGATCGGGCTAGACGACCCGAAGAGAAAATAACCACCCCGGCCCATTCGTTGAGTACAAGACGTAGGACGTTGGTGAGGAATTCAGGAACGAGGTGAGAGAGAGGAACGGGAAGAGAGAGAGGAACGAGAGAGAGAGAGAAGGTGAGATAGAAGGTTCACCGGAAGAAAAAAAACTCCGGTGACTTGGCATCATCCGGCGAGTTAGATCTCGCGATCATCATCATCTGTCACACAATCACCAAGCGCTCCTCCTGATCAGGCGCTGTAGCCAAGCAGAGGAGTCATCACGTTCGTAGGATATGATCCTCGAACACTGTCCAGAGGTAATTTGTTGCTTTTGTTTTCAAATTCGAGTTACATTCTTAATGTTTGAGGAGTATATGAAATGTTGATTCATAACTGAACATGTGATTTCGTGTTATTCAAATCTGAGTCCTAACATCATGTTCGGACAATAATCTCCTGTGATCATGTGTTTATTTTGTGAATTGACTACCACAATCATGTCCCGAGAGTAATCCCTCTCTTGTCTGGTGGAAATTTAGGATCAGTCCTTAGGAATTTGTGATAATTGCTATGATTCGAGGTTTAGACAATTGTTGAAGGTTGTTTAACTCTGTTTTGTGCTTAGCTTTTTCGAATCTGTTGATTGTAGGTCTCATGCCTCAATTATTCAGTTTGAAATTCTTATTTGGGGTTTAACAACTGACATAAAGTGTAGTTGGCGTCAAAGTACATTGTATGTTCAAAAGGTCTTTATAATTGAATTCATGCTTATGTTGATTAGCATCAGGCTCATCCTGAGGTCATTAATATAGGTATAGGTCCTTAAGTAGTGCTCATCTCTCTCAAGGGCTAATATTTGAGGTGGAGACTTAGTTTCTTTTAGAGAGAGATAAGTCTCACTTTTGTTGAACAACATGTTTAACTGAGAACCTGATTCTATACTTTGATCTGAACGACTGTTCCTAATTCTACCAGACAAGCTTGTTCACTCTACTTGATAAGCACAAATCTCTACCTGATCTTATCTCTCCTTCTTTGATCTATTCTCATTGTTCCTGTTAGAATCTGCTTTTAATACGTAGCATTAGGATCTTATGAACAACCCCCCCCCTGCGTGTGTGAGTGTTGTGGAAACTGAGCAATAAATCAAGAGAAGATATAATTAGAAGACAAATCTCCCTGTGGAAGAATGACCCTACTTACAACTTTCCTACCATTTTTATAAGTGTGTAGTAATTGGGGAATAGGTCAATTTGTTGTCACCTGACAAGTGGCTAACAGGCAAGAAGCTTCACTAACTTAATTGATGGTCAATACAGGTGGAGGGATGGGGATTTCTCCTTCAGCAAAGCCATCTCAGCTTCCATCAATGGCTACTACACAACTCTGTCCAGCAAGCTGATCTGGCACAAACTTCAGATCCCCAAAATCAACATATTCCTTTGGAAGCTACATTCCGATGCTCTCCCATTGTCGCACAACTTGAAAAAACTTTCTTTCCAGCTTCCATCAATCTGTCGTCTATGTAGGAGGGATGAAGATTCAACAGATCACTGCTTCCTTCACTGCCCAGCTGCCAAAGAAGTTTGGGGTCATTTCATAGACATAATCGAGGGACCAAAGATTACCACAAATTGTAAGATAAATCAATACCTTCTGCAATTGTTCATCAAGGCAAAAGGGAAAAGTTTCACAGCTCATCTTCGATGTGTCATACCAGGAATCATAGTCGAGATAATTTGGAAAGAGATCAACGCAGCAATCCATGAGAACATGACATGCTCTACAACAAGAATGATCAATAATATTCATTGGGAAATTCAGGGCTGGATTTGGCTGCATAGGAAGAAGAAATGGATGATTTCTGAAGGATATGCTACCTCTATCCCGAATCGTTTTTGGCTGAATGGCAAACGGCTGAAGAAAGGCTTCATCTCGTTAGAAGATTAAGGAGCAAATTTCTTGTTCCTCCACAGTATATTGGTTTTAGTTTTTTCTACATTTCCCCTCTGAGGCCTCAGTCTAGTCCTCCTCAGACGTGTAGCAGATTCAGTGTTTTTTTTTGTTATAATAAATATCCTATATATATATATATATATATATATATATATAAATATATATATATATATATATACATATATATATACATACATATATATATATATACATACATATATATATATATATACATACATATATATATACATATATATATATATATATATATTAGAGAGAATATATATTCAATACCGACTCAATCCTCACTTATCACTTCTCATTTCCCGTAAGAGAGAAGTTTGATTGTTCCTCTTCCTCCGGTTGCAGAGACTCCATTTTGAAATAGTCAGCTCCAATTCTAATTTCTAACTACTTCGATTGTTTGTAGCTGGTTTCCTTCATCGCAATTTGGGTCAATTTCAACTTCGAGATTTCCAGGTACCTTGCGACATGTGACCCTTTACATGTTCTTAAGTTCTTTATCATCGATCCTCTCTCTGTCTCTCTGATTGTTGTGCTACTGGGTAGATTGGAGGGTACATATATTCAATATAAAATAAGGTGGAAAATGAGGTGATGATTAAATCTCGCCGAAAGTTGAAACAAACACATGCCAATTGTTCTGCCTAGCAAATCCATCCATTAATAACATTACTTTGCTCCACTAACTCTTTGAAAAGGAAAAACAAAAAGGCTAGTGGCCGAGTATTTTTTTCATTCTCTTTTTGTTTGAGATTTATTTCCTCAAATCTGTTGAACAGAGTTTGAGAGTTAGCCATTTTATGAAAACAAATAAGATTGCCTATGAGTTCATGTGAAACAAGTTACTCTCTTTACTCTACCACCAGTCTTGTTAGCATATATATGAATAAATAAATAAAACATTGCTTTGATTTTACACAATTTCCACCCAAATGGATGCATTTGTTTAGGATTCTCATATTTGACTTCTTGAATTTTTTGCTGTTTTTTTCCTGCAAATTTGTTATTTACTGGATTTTTTGACAAATTTATTTCTCATTTATGCTTGTCATTGACCTTTTTGTAGATGACTTCAATGAACAGTGAGAAGGATCAAACTACTCAACCAACCCAAATTGTTGAGGAAAGTCAAAAAACTGCTCTCGAAAAAGATGAGAATGAAGAAGATGATGATAGGAAAAGGTCATTTGTGTGGGATCACTTTAAGTACGCAAAAAACATCACAAGTGCTAGATGCCCATATTGCAAACAAATGATCAAGTGTGATTCCAAGAAAAATGGCACCAGTGGATTAGGTAAACACTTGAAGATGTATTGCCGGAAGTCTCCATGTTACAAGCAACCGGATATGAAACAAAAGACCTTAAGTTTCACTCCGCCTCAACCATCCTCTAGAAAAAGTGATGTAAAAGGTAATATGTACAACCAAGAGGGTTGTAGAATGGCATTAGCTAGGATGTGCATTAAAGATAATAGACCTTTTAGCATTGTGGAGGATGAAGGCTTTGTGGAGTATTAATCAACGCTAAATCCAAACTTTAAACTTCCTAGTCGATGGACAGTTGCTAGAGATTGCTTTAATATATATAAAGAAGAATCAAAGGTCATAAAAAATCTTCTTGTTGGCAAACGTGTTTCCCTAACCACAGACACTTGGACTTCTGTCCAAAATATTAACTACATGTGTCTCACCGTGCATTGGGTTGATGATAATTGGAGGTTAGCCAAGAAAATTTTGAACTTTTGTCAAATTTCTAATCATAAAGGGGACACTATTGGTAAGTTGGTGTATGCTTGTTTGAAGAAGTGGGGAGTGAATAAGGTTTTTACAGTCACTGTTGATAATGCATCTTCTAACGATGGTGCAATTAAATATTTAAAGAAAGAATTAATGGGACCTGATTCAATACTCGATGGTAAATATATGCACTTGAGGTGTTGTGCTCATATTGTCAACCTAATTGTGAGAGATGGTTTAGAAGACCAACATGATTCTATTGTTAAGATTAGGAATGCTGTGAGGTATGTTAGATCCTCCCCTGCCCGACTTTTGAAGTTTGAAGCTTGTGTTGAAAAGGAGAAGATAGTGTGTGGGAAAAAAGTGTCACTTGATGTAGACACGAGATGGAATTCCACGTATTTGATGTTGGACACCGCAATTATGTTTGAAAAGGCATTTCGAAGACTCAATCTAGAGGATGGTTATATGGCTTATTTCGTTGATGATTATGAAGAAGAGTTTGAAGCAAACACGAGGAAAAGAAAGAGGAAAAAGAAAGTTCCTGGACCCCCTTGCGAGAATGATTGGATAAATGCAAGGTACTTTGTCGAGTTTCTTAAAATATTTTATACCATTACTTTGAAGATTTCAGCTTCCAAACATGTTACTGCGAATCTGTTCTTTAATGAGATTGTGAAAATGCATGTGAAAATTTCAAAAATGTGCTCTAGTGGAGATGAAAAGTGCCAAAGTATGGCAATACGGATGAAGGAAAAATATGACAAATATTGGGGCAATATTGATAACATCAATTTCTTGTTGTATATTGCTGTTGTGTTGGATCCTCAGAAGAAAATGAAGTATGTGGAGTTGTGCTTGAAAAAAATTTATGAAAATAATGGAGAGAAACAAGCAATGTTCCTTCAAAGAGTGGGAAGCACTCTAGACTCTTTATACAAAGAGTATCTTCGACTTGCATCAAGTGGAGATGTAATGGGTGGTTCAACTTCTTCGAGTGTTGCTCCAATTTCCTTAGATATTGATGATGATGATTTCCTTGAAAAGGAATTTGAAAGGGATTTGTTAGTAGCACAAGGTAAGGAAAACAAGTCTGAAATTGATATTTACTTGTCTGATGATATTCTACAAGTTGTTGGTGAGGATTATGATATATTATTGTGGTGGAAGTCGAACTCAGCTAAATATCCCACTCTCAGTCAAATTGCAAAAAGTGTGCTAGGGATGCGAATTTCAACTGTAGCTTCTGAATCGGCATTTAGTACTGGGGGAAGAGTTATAGATCCATTTAGGAGTTCACTTAACCCAAGAACTGCAGAAGCTCTCATATGTTCTCAAGAATTGTTAAGGTCAAACCCAATAGATATTCAGAATCCACCAGATATTACATTGGATGAGTACAAAAAGAATCTTGAAGAGATTGAAAAGGGTAAATTTGTTCGCATTAATACTACATATTTAGTTATTTAGTTATTATTATATATCATTTATATTTTAATCTGATATTTTAATATTTTGTAGATGAATTTGCAAACACTCCAAAGCATCTGGAAGAATACATTCTGGATGATTGAAATGGTAACACTCCAAAGTCCAAAGTTATTCTTAATTGTCTGATTGCTTGTTTGTTAAACTTCATAGTTGGATCTGTTTTCATTTGTGGTTGTTTTTTTCTTAAAGGGTTGGAAGTTGCTAGTTTGCTGGGTTTTGTGTCAACTGTCAACACACTTATATTAATTTGCTGGAAGTTGCTCCAAGTTGCTGGAAGTTGCTTGTTGCTCCAAGCAACTGGCAGTATTTTTTAAATGATTTTGTGCCTTTTTAGGGACCCTGGAGTGCCTGGACTCTTGATTTGCTTATCAACCTTTTGTGCAATTTTTTTTTGCTAAACACTAACTTACTGCTAGTTAATTGAGCAAGCAGAATTGGGTGCAGTGCAGAAGGTTTTTCTTCAATTGAAAGTTGCTTGTTGCTCAAACTTTCAATTGATAGAAAAGCAACTGTTTTTCCTTAGCTTTATTATTTGGAAGTTGCTTGTTGCTCCAAGCTTAAGCTTATTACAATCATTACATTTGGCAACTTTGAGAGTTTAAGTCATCTTTTTAAGTGGACATACTGGCAGTTTTTTGTATGGTGGAATAGCACTCAATGCTTTATTTTTTTTTGTTGGAATTTGTTTTAATATTTAGAGTGAGTGACTTTTTCTCTTAATTAGAGTTCTGTTTTGTGTTTAATATAAAATAAATCCCGAACAATTACCGAAACCGATATAATTTATCCCGAACCATACCAAACCGAATTTTCGGGTTCGGTATCGGGACAATGTAAAATCCCATACCGAACCGATAAATGTGGTACGGTATCGGTACAAGCTTAATCCCGTCCCATACCGTACCATGCTCACCCCTAGAAAATATTATAGATATTTTCTATACGCAAAATGATATTAATGGAACATAAAATAAATTTCTCTCACTAAAATGAAGTGGCCGAAAATTCCTTGAGCCAAACTGATGAATGTGGTCTCTTTTATTCAAGTGAGAAAGTGGGTATAATAATGGACTTTAATTATGCATAAAATGACAAATTAACAAATCAATTACAAATCATTAATTTATCAATCAAGTAAGTTAATACCAATTTGTCCACCTTGAAATCCATATGGCCGAATGATGATATGAGAAGGATATTTGAAATTCTTCTCCACTCAAATGTTCAAAGTGTATTTTATTTGACACCAAAAATTAATATAAAATTAATTTTAAATCAAATAAAAATACCAATATCATTTTTAAACAAGTATACAAATATACTTTAAATAGTTTATGTCAAAATAATTATTTTCATAATTAAAATAACAAACCAAAATAAAATATTCAATATAATATATATATATTAATCGGCATATATATAATATATATAACCGAATATTTATATATATATATAATATTATATTCCGAAATATTTTATTTTACTATTTTACAAATATACAAATTACTTATTATCCCATTGTTTAATCCTACTCCTTAAATTGTCCAAAGTGTGTGACCCGTATAGGCACTTATAAAGCTGGCCATAGTCTTGGCTCTGCACCAATACTATAAACAATAAGCGGTATCTAGCAACACATTATTGCCCCCAGATTATAACTTAAGACGTTTGCACCGTCAAAACCTTTCCACGACTCAAAGTCTGTGTAACTGTATCCCTTTGTCTCAATCTCTAGACTTAATGCAAGGGATTAATAAAATCCAACTTGTATCCATTAAGTCATTCACTGATTTATCAAGTCTGACTAATAGGAACAGACGTCATAAAAACATCTCAACATGGCCATGCAATTTCCTCAGTCATAACTTATTAGTGGGCCCCATAAGACATTACTCTCTTTAAAAGGAGTAGTGACAAATCCTATGTACGTAATCTACGTTTCTGAATACGTGCTGCGGCATACCCAAAACAAAGCCTGTATACCATCATTATTTCATATGGTTTAGGACAATGCATCAAAGCATGCAGGTGCACATATGCAGAAAACGTAATTCTTCAAATCGAAGGATAGCTACACCCGTGGTCGCACTAAATATGCTTAGAGCATGAACTAAAAGTTCAAACAACATCTTTAGGATGGGTCAGTCCGGCCCTATTATCTCCAGATAATATCTGCCATGTGCGGATGCGAACACACTGTCATTGACTATGAGACTAAGTCAAACATCCAACACACACTAGTCTCACATGCATTAACGATATCCCACTCTCGTTAACACTCGACTATGGACATTTAGATAAATATTTATTTCAAGATGTTAGTCTCATCAGCAGAATAACACTATCTGATTAACATCTTTAAATATAAATCTAGGAATATAATATTTGTTTACATTAGCATGAAATGTGTAAGCATATTATATCTGCCTATACATGATAGAATAACGATAAACAGTTGGCCATCAGGGCACAACTCCAACAATGCTTTTTTCTGCAACTTTTCGCGATGCTAGATGGTAGCACGGTATAATCCGTAAGGTACCCGGCTACTACCTTAGGCGTGGGCTCCTACGATCGACGATGATAAGACGGTAGCTAGGCACCGCCTAATAGTATTTTAGCCTATGCTATGGCAGGTATCCACCCATGGATGAAGGGTACACTGATGCCAATTGGATTGCGGATAATAAGGATTCAAAATCCAGGAGTGGATTTATCTTTATGTTAGCCGGTGCAGCTGTATCCTGGAAATCCTCAAAACAAATGTTAATTGCAAGATGCACCATGGAGTCTAAGTTTATAGCATTAGATAAATGCGCAGAACATGCCGAGTGGCTTCAGAAATTTCTTGAGGATGTTCCGAATCGAGAGAAATCAGTTCCTCCTATTTGAATTTACTTTGATTGTAAATCGGCGATAGGACGAGCTTGGAACAATATGTATAATGGTAAGTCTAGGCACATTCACCGTAGGCACAAAACCATTAGGCAACTTCTCAATACGGGTATTATCTCAATTGACTATGTCAAGTCAAAGGATAATTTAGCGGATCCACGAACCAAAGGGTTAACAAACGAACAACATGAGAAGTTAGTGGTAGGGATGGGTCTGAAAGCCCTAGCCTGTGTTGGGAACATCCCATGAAGGAAAACCCAACCTGGGTGGTACTTGGGTTCAATGTCACAACCTTCATGTGGGACAAAGCATGGTCACTGTGGGGGCAAGCCGGATCACCGACTTAACATCCCTCCATCCCTACCTAGATATAGTGACTCCTCGAAACTATGAGGTTAGCATGATGCTTTACTGATTCTTGAACTATGGACAACAGGGTCCAAGTGGAGTAATCGGGATACTCTTAGAAGAATCACATATGCAAGAGTGAAGTGCGGTCGCTTCAACAGAAGGATTTCGGGCTGATCGTGTCTGACACTCTCACTAAACCAGATGCGTGTTCCACGACCATAATGGGCACACCCATGAGAAAGGAACGATGGTTGGTTGAAACCTATGTAGTGTATATCGTCGTTTACATAAACAGCAGTACACTTCAAAGACATCACGTTCTACTGAACAGCTAGTAAAGAAGGTATACTTTACAAGGAGTAGGTTCAAAGGCATAAAACCTACCTACTCTTGCAGGTTTCAACTTCAGAGTTATTGGCAGTTACATGAATTAATTTGCATTCATGTGGGAGATTGTTGGAATTTTTTAGTTCAATTGGACATTTTTCAGAGATAAATTCTGTAAAACCCTAATCCGTATAACCCGGAATTACACGTATTAAGGTGAAACTAGTGTTAAATAAAACTTTCGCTTGACATTTGAAAATGACAATTACTTATAAGTGTTAAAATTACAGACTCTGGATCGCGACCCATTTAAAAATATTTTCAGAATAATGTGGAAGTACAATAATAGTCAAATCATGACAAATTTAAAATCTTGATGAACAAACATTTGTCTGCCATCCTTGCATCTCCTCTGACTCAATGCCCTCCGGGAATGGTTCTGTCATAGTCTTCTGGTTACCTACGTGTTGTCAACGAAAAATACAAACTACACGCTCAGCGAAACCGCTGAGTGGTACCACGCTAGAATTGTAGAATAATTCACAGACATATACATATACATATATATACATCCAAAAGGTGTATAATAATACTCATGATATGGCTCATTATATCATATGTTCAATTTGATGATTCATGATGATAAATATTTACTGCTAATTACATGATGGCACATTTAATCAATTTGATTGTTCTTGATGATAATTACATGACACCTATGTAATCAATGTACTTGATGATGATAACATGATTTCACATTTAATCAATTTGATTGTTCTTGATGATGATTACATGACACCTATGTAATCAATGTACTTGGTGATGATAACATGATGCATGAACCTATAACCCGCAAGGACGACCCTTGCACTATGAGATTCGCCCATTTGGTACGACGAACTCATGCCACCTTAGTCTCACGAATGAGGTGAGACTAGAAAGAATATGGGGGTGGTACTCGAAAGCCTGAATACCATGTACGTACACTAAGCCCGAACCTGTGATGTCGGACTACTAAGTCCCGCACAATCACGCTATAAGAGACGCACGAGGCATGATCTCTTACGCATGCATATGGTGTGATATGCTTCAATATAAATGATGAAATGAATGATATGATATTAAAATATCATTTAATTAAGCTATGGGGCTCGGAACGGTCCACTGTTTGACATGGCGGTCGACCGTGCCTAAAATCATCTTGTCAATTTTGGATCACCGTGACGGTCGACCGCAGTTGACCGGCGGTCGACCGTTGTTGACTGGCTGGGGATGACGGCCTTCGGCTAGGCTGGCGGCGGTCGATCGTTCGCTGGCGGCAGTTGACAGTTTTGCTGATAGTCGTGGTTCGTTTCAAAGTTTAACACGACGGTTGACCGTTTGCGTCAACTGTTTGGGTCTGCGAATCTTTCTCTTGATATTTTGAGTGTCCAAAATACTTCTTTAAGTCTTTTAAACACCTTTGATTAACATATACGTATTGTTGGGTTGATTTCCAAGGTTTATATTTACTTATGTGTATATTAACTTTATGGACTTGGTGTATTTTGATCTCAACATATAGATGACATATATATATATATGTATCACATATACATTTTGGATATAGTTTCAACATATGGATTAACATATATGTTCATGTACGTATGTGATGAATGATTCGACAAGTCTAACGTAAGGGTACAGACCTGGAAATCATCGGCCGAAACCTTACGGATTAGCGGGAGTGGAAACAACATCGAAATTCACCAACTTTGTCATTCTCGTCACAATTGGACAGTCTGCCGTATTTTGAGCATATCTCCATCGTTTCTTCACGGAATTGTAAGCCGTTTGATTCTGTGGATTCCTAAGATGTAAGTCTATAACTTTTGTGTAGAAAGTATTTCGAGTTAACAGATTTAAGATAGCGTAAATCGGACCTGAAGTCAAAGGATAGTTGCTGTCCAGGATTTCGGATATGTCGATGAACAACGATTCCGACGATTAACTCATTAACTTCAATATTCCAACACTGAACCTTCTCTACGATACCTTCCGGATGTTCCTAATAATCATTAGAGAGTTTATGGTAAGTGTTTGGAATGAAACAATATGAATATGGTGAAGAAACATGGCAAATCCCGAGGAGCTCGCCACCACTGGCGCAGTCCCGGTATTTTGGCCATATCTTCTTCGTTACTTAACGAAATCACAAACCATTTGTTGGGTTGGATTCGTAACGTCCGGGGCTACGAGTTTGGTACAATAAATAATTCGAGAAAAAGGATAGAAAATTACAGAATTGACGATGAAGTCGCTGTTGCGTTTTGGACTCAAGATTTGGAAATTTTGAATGATTTCTTGCTTCTTCTTCTTCTTCCTTAGTATACAACCATGGAGCATTGCTGTTTTCTTTTCTTTCTTTGGGCTGCCGACAGAGAGAGAAGTGCGGAGTGAAAGGTAACCATGCAAGGATAGGCAGCGGAATACAAAAATTTTAACATCCTAACATGATTATCTTGCCTAGAATCACGTACTAAAACATATAGTAGTAAGAAATTTATACCTTTCTCCGTAAGCGCGGTAAAAACGAAGAAGTCGTAGGAAGAGCGTTGAAAGTGCAAACGTAACCGTTCAAGCGTCCGGTCTCCAACTTTGACACACGAACAACGCCGGAGTCTACCACAATCTTTATCCTAGTAAAGATTATAGTAGTATAAAATATAAAGATTAAATTTTGGGATAATAATAATCTTGTATATTTCTATAGAAAATATTTCTAATAATATTTAGAAAATATTATAGA